GGGAAGAGCTTGTCCCGGAGCCGGGCATAGACAAAGACGTGGCGGCCGCGGGGCGCCGGGCAGGAGGGAGCGGGAAGGACGCGCTGGGAGCGGCCGCGAGCTGCGGGGCGCGCGGTGCTCCCTGCCAGGGAGCTCGCTGGGAGCGTCCTGCTGCCCTTCCTGCTCCTGCACCCCTTGTCCCCTGGAAATGCCAGTGTTGAAACCGCTGACTCAGTCCCCAGCACTCTGCAGTGCACAGTTAACACAGAGCTAACTGCTTCTGCTTAAATAAAATTACTAAAATAGGGCATCCCCCTCCTCCTCCATCTACTTATTGTAATCAAGTATTGCCTTTACCAGGCTTGTCAAATACTGCATGTACATGTGTCAAATTGACTAGCTTTTTCTGAGGGTGCTTTACTTTAATCTTTGCCGGAGTTTTCTCATAAGCTAAAGCTTGAGCCTTTGCCTGCTATTATTTTCTGTGTTAATTACGTAATGTTAAGTGTATTGCTCTCACGATTATGTTAATTATTAAAATTATACTATGCATTCCATTGTTGCACTTTGTTTGCTCTTTTAGTATTTGTGTGACTATATAGGCTCTTTGATTAGTGAAGTCCCTTTGCTGGGTCTGCTAGTTTTCTTAATCTCTAGGAACATTTGCATGCTTTTTTTTTTTTTTTTTTTCAAATCTTGCATGTTTTTGTTGTTTTAACTGGATTGTAATGTCTGAAGACTACATTTAGCTGACTCAAAACGTAGCCAAGAAAAACTCTTCCTGACGAAGTTGCATCTGTTTGTGTAGAGTCTGAGGCTGAACTGTTGAGAGCCCTGTGTGCCCTGCCAGGGTCTGAGAGGTGTCAGGGGACCGTGAAAGCAAAGGTGGCCCAACGCCCGATACTGCCCGCAAGCCCAGGGCTCTGCGGTTACTCGACCACGCCAGAGGGTTTTGCTGTTTTCCTGTCTGAGACTTTTTGCCTGGACTGTACTCTGTTTCTCTAGTCAAAAGCAACTTTTCCAGTTTTATTTGGGAGGTATAATGGGCAAAAATATAGCATTGTTTATCTCCCAGGCATCCCTCATTTGTGTTGCCAAAATGAAGTGCCACTCAAAGCAGGCCATGCACAACTGATTTCTAGCCTGTGTGTTGCCCAATAAACCATGTAGTTATTTCATGGTAACATTTGACATCTTAAGAATGTATTTGGGTAAGCTCATGCCTTTTAGTCCGAGAGGTATGGTTTCTGCTTGGGCAGTTTTGCTGCATTATTGGCATTTTTTTTTTGTATACATTCTTTATGACCTCCTTCTTCCTTAGGAACTTGGGTGGGTTTTTTTTAATTATTATTATTACTATTTTTTTTCAGTACCAGAATTCATATTCTGAAGCACAAGATGAGCACAAGGCAAGAAAGCTGGAGTTAATTATGGTTATCCCATCCTGCCACATTTCACATGAAAATTCTTTTGGACTGAGAGCTTGCATTAGCAAGTTCTCTTTGAGCGGTTACCACAGTTATGTTTTCATTTAGCAGAAATAGCAACAGTAGCAAGGATGATGCATAAAAGCACAATATTTTGCGTTGGAACAGTTAGCTCTAACCCCTGGCCTTTGAAGCATGCTGTGGATACCAGCCTGAAGTTCCTGGCATCTCTGCGAGGTTCTGATTCCTCTCTGTATCTGTTCTAGGAGAATGTGTTTATTGGTCAATCCAAAATCTACAACTACCTGAATTCTAACAAATCTTCTGGTGCTCGCCCCCCACTTCAAGAGGAGAACTCTGTCATGTATCACGAGGTGAAATGTCAGGGCAAAACACTAAACCAATCCTACAGGAAAGGAGATGGTAAGATTGATCTTTGCACTGTTTGCTTGTCTCATGAAATGTGCTTTGTTCCTCCAGTTTGCAAACTTGAGAAGGCAGCTAAAGAGGCCAGAGACCTCACCCCTGCCCACTTGCTTTCCACTCCCCCTGCTCTATTGGCAGACTGGGGCTCCACAAAGACTGAGGGTCTTCATCCTCTTCAAATTCATGTCACGGGTTTACCAGGCAATTTTCCTCCTTTTTATTTATTTATTTCTCATCTTGATGCAAATACTTCTAGTGTGCAGATATTTTAATTTCTCCTCAGCATTGTGAGTGCCAGATTTTGGGGTAATTTGGCAACTTTTACTCCTCCTATTTTGACAGTAAAGTGAAGATGACTTTAGCCGGTTACACAGTGCAGCTGTGCTTTATCCCTTTAGCGATACTGAAGTATCTCTTTTGGGACATGGGACCGTTAAACCCAGTAACTTGCTCTAAATAGAGATTTTATTTAGCTTTAAGCCATGCTCATCTGCCTCTAAATCCCTCAGATGAGGAGGAGGATGTGGTGAGGTCAAGGTAGAATGTATCTATCTGAGCAAGTGTGGTGTGTAGGGTAGATGTCTTTTCTCTGTGTGATACTGGCTGCTCACAAAAAACATCTGCAGCTATTGACCATAGCAATGTAGGATCCAAACTGCCTAGCACCCTCCTTCAGTGCTGCATGTTGATTCATTTATGGCAACTGGATAATGTAATGTGCCAAGTGCACTTAGCAGCAGGATGTGGTCCGTGTTCAGATTCGGGACAAGTTAGTAGCAAGCCTAATTTAATAAAGGACTTGAGTTCTGTTGCAGTTTTTCCATTTCTTTGCTCACTCCTCTGTTAGCACTTTGTGTATTGTAGAAGTAGCTAGTCAAAAGTCCAATAACAGCCTATTTGGGTTATAGTAGAAAGAAACTGCATCATTCCCTTCCTCTTTCTCCTGTTTGACAGAACTAGAAACTTGGACTAGAAACCACTGGAATTCATTTAAAGCACTCTGATATAGATGATCGTAAGTTCAGAGCCTTACTTTATTTTCCTGTCACCAGAAAAAAAGAAAGGTGGCAATAAAATTGAAGGTGCTATGAAACCAGAAGACCAGAAAGATAAAGCAAGTGGGTGCAATTCTTCAGTGCCCTCTTCTCACCAAAAGCAAGAAACTGCAGAAACTCAAAACACGCCTCTGCCTTCAGAGTGTGCTGATGAGGCCAATGCAAAGCCGGCCCAGAAGAAGATGGTTAAAGCAAAACGTGGACCAAGGAGAAAGTAAGTGAATTCAGGAGCTATAAAAGTCTCTCTGCTTGTGCTCTCTTGTAGCAGGAGGCCTTGATCTGCAATTTGCCCTCATGGGCTATAGGAGTTAATGTAATTAATGTTAATCCTTGTTCTGTTGCCCTTTTTTAAACAAAGGGGATGGGAGCTGATGGGAGCAATAGATTCTTGAAGACGTCTCTTTTTTTTTTTTTTTTGGCAATACTAGTATGTATGAAAATACAAAATAATACCTGAAGTATGTACCTTGCAGAGGACTTTTTGGTTTTTTGTTGTTGTAAGCAAGATCAGCGTGTTTTTCCTCAAATAAAATACCTGCTGATTGCCTATGGAAAAGGAAATTAATGAGGTGCTAAAGTCTATTTTTATTTGGACAAATTGGAGTGTCTCCTCAGAAACAGGATATTAAATTAACTACAGCTGGTGGCTTCCTGGCTTTGAACTCATACTTTTTCTTATAAGATTAGAGTAACATAACTTAACATTAGAGAATTACTTGTTGAGCAGCTTTCATGATATAACTTTGAGAGCCTCCTGGCAAAGCACACAGGGCATCGGGCTCAGAATGCAGCCTTCAGTTATTGTTAAAGGATTAGTTCTGTAAGAATGGAAAGAGCACGTTGAGGAAAGAGGGTTATAGCTTTTGGCTTGGAATGAAGAATACTGATAAGATGCTGATTCATACTGGTCAACTTTAAACGTATTAAGCTGAAAGTTTCTTGCAGATATCTCAAGGATAGAGGTGTAATTTCAGAAATACCCTGAAATATGCATATTTCTTATTTTTCTTATCCCGTAGAACACAAGGAAGAACACAAAATCGAAAAGTGACAGATTATTACCCAGTTAGAAGAAGCTCCAGGAAGAGCAAATCTGAATTGCAGGTAGTGCTTCTTGTCTAAATTGCACAATGTACCATGTGGCCCATCAGTTGAATGCTTGAGGAAAGTGTGTTACTATCTATTAACCATTTGCACTGGCAAATAGCAAATAACAAATATGCACTAGAAGTATTGTTCAGATAATGTTCAAAACTAACATCCAGATCTGTCAGGTTGGAATCCAGCTATTTATACATCTCTAGGAAGAGATCTGTGTCTCTGCCATTCAGTTTTGCTAGAAATAAAGGGTGGTTTGGAAAAATGAGTGACAACAGATAATCAGCTAATAATCAGCTGTGAAATAACCCCCCAGCGGTACTGTGGTTTTACTTTTGTCTTGTTTCCCCTGCAGACTGAGGAGAGGAGGAAAATAGATGAACTAATTACAAGTGGGAAAGAAGAAGGAATGAAGGTAACTGCAGTACTGACATAAGCAGCCTTATGATGTTTACACAATCTCTTGCTGTTAATCTGTTTAAACAGAAAGTAGAAGCATTCGGTCTTACAACTGCTTCAGTTCCTTGCTGCTAAGATGAAAGTGCAGCAAAATTGGAGCATGTTTTCTTTCCCTTTTGGATGGTAGATCTTCACTTTCTTTTTGCACTGACAAGCATGCATGCTCTAATAGATACTTCAGTCTTTATACCACAGAAAATGTGCTTGCTCCTTTTAGTATATATTGTCTTGGTTAGTCTCCAAAAATACTGATATGGAAGTCTTGTTTGACCTGTATATCTATGGCAACATGTATGGTACGTGTATATATATGGTGCATATGTACTATACCCAGTCACTCTGCATTGTAACTAATTCTACTAGCAGTGTTTACAGCCAGTCCCTATAGATTCCTTGTTAGTGTACTGCATAAATAGGGTGTGCTTATTCTCCCACTGTTAGTAAATGCTAATTGTTGGGACCAACTACTTACTCTTTGGGAGCCTCTGACCACCCTGTTTAGAACTTAAACCAGAAATGGATCCTACAAAAGCCAAAGGCTGCAATTTGTTAAAATGCGGCAGCCTCTAGTTATAAAGTTACTCCTAGGACAGTGACAGGATCTCCGAGAGGAAGAGTGGCCCAGTTTACTGGGATGGGTCCAATACTGGAGCATGGTGGTGGGTGCCAAGTGTGGTTTATGAAATCAATCCTTCGATTCCTCTGACTTTTCCTGAACATATTAATGGTGATGGTGCTGCTGAAATGAAAAAACTGACTTCCTCATCTAATGGCTGTCTGCTAGTTTAAAAATATTTAATAACTCTTTTGCTTGTATGTTTTTGATCTAATTCTTTGATTAGAGAACTTTGTATCAAAAAAACTTTGTATCAAGATACCTGATTTGCATTGTACTGCTACAGTTTCATCAGCAACACATTTAAATTACCACGCTGCGATGTGTTTTTGTTTAATGATGAATCCAACACATAGTAATTTCCCAGTAAAGGACATATTTGCAATCATGTAAATACTTTTCGCTTTCCCAACTGGTTTTCTTTTCACCTCAACAGATTGATTATATTGATGGCAAAGGGAGAGGGGTAATCGCTACTAAACATTTTAATCGAGGAGAATTTGTCGTTGAATATCATGGGGATCTCATAGAGATCACTGATGCTAAAAAGCGAGAAGCTGTGTATGCTCAAGACCCATCCACAGGCTGCTATATGTACTATTTTCAGTACCTCAGCAAAACATACTGGTAAGCCTTTCCAGCTTTAACTTTTAAAGCTTGTGATCCCTAAATGATTGAAGCTTTGAATGCTGCTGAGTCTTTGTTTTCTTGAAAAAAATTAATGGGGAATATACACTACAAATCTTAGTAGAGCACTCATTAATGCCCTGTATCTGTTTGAATAGTGCATAAACAGGTACCCTGAAATGTAATAGTTACTCAACCTTACTTAGGCCATGTCTCCCTCCTCCAGTATCCATGTGCATGCTTTGACACTCTGCTTGTTGCTTAGTTTGCCAAAACTCTGGTTCTTTTTGGAGTTCTCCAGTTCTTTCTACTTGGCCTTGTGTGGGAGTAGAGGCTCTTCTGCTAGTTCTGTATCCTTTTGCTTGCTTATGAACTGGATAGATGCAGTTTTTTGAGGGGAGGGTATTTAAGGTGTTGAGCCCTTCTGGTGTTATCCTGTATCTGGATTTGCTGATCCTCATGAAGAGTCAAGAGCTTCTTGGTTTCAAGTCCACAGTGTCAGGTTTCCTGTGTTTTGTGCTATAACCACTAAATCTCCAGAATTGTTTTAATTGTTACCATGATCACCATCCTGCATGCTACCTATTTGGGCATATGAATAGTCTATAAAGTTCTCTTTTGTTTTTTCCAAGCCTTGTATGAACTTTCAATTTTTTTTACCCGATTCATGCTTTGTTTTTTGTCTGCAAATGTGACTTGTGTGTGGTGTGCGGCAACCCTGCCTTCTGTTCCTGTTCTTTCAGTGTCGATGCTACAAAAGAAACTAATCGTCTGGGAAGACTGATTAATCACAGCAAATGTGGCAATTGTCAAACAAAGCTTCACGACATCGATGGTGTACCTCATCTCATACTGATAGCTTCTCGAGACATTAATGCAGGAGAAGAACTGTTGTATGATTATGGAGACAGGAGCAAAGCTTCCATTGAAGCGCATCCATGGCTGAAACACTAGTTCATCTTTTTTGTTTTGACTTAATGCTCTGCAGAGTCGATGGATTTATTTCTCCTGTCCTCACTTCCCTCAGCTTAGTGGACTGCTTATGGTGTTTTGAGCTCCTTAAAACTGTCTTTTTGCTTTGCAGTATTTAAGTACCTATTGCAGGTTTCCAGGCAGGCTTGCATAATTGATCTTAGATTGCCAATTTTTTTGTATTGTGAAAGAAAACTCTCCATAAAACCTGGACATTTTTTTTGCATAGAGTAACCAGTGCCACCTGGGCATGCAGCTGAAGACTTGCACAGATTGAAACTCAATCATTTGGATTGTACTTCTGCTTTTGCAGTGAAAACTCCTGCTCCACTTTGTGAGGAGATGAATTTGGCGTTAGCTTTATGACAGCAGATGTTCTTCTGTACTCATGTATCTTACATCCAATGGCTTGACTACTTGTCAGACTTATTTTTTGAAACCCAGTCTGACAGGCTTTTCCGAGATGGACGCTATTGTTTCTATCATTCTCAAATTTGCGGTTAGGGATCTAATTTTTCCAGAGTCATTATCTCATGTTGGCCACGGAGCTTCAAATGCACTGGCACTGGGGAAAATGGATGGTCAGACTGACTGCCTTCTTCAGAGAAATTGAATGTGGATGGATTTTGATAGACTGGGTTGATGTGGATTAGAAATGTGAAGATAAAATTTAGTCATTACAGCGAGAATCAATTTTTGACATTATTTTCTGAGGTTTGAGTGAGATGGTACCATTTTATAGGTGATGGCTGATTCTTGGAGGTGCCTCCTAGAGGGTTTTAAAGAAGCAAAAGGAAAATCTTTCAAAAATTATTACCTCCCTGTGTTAATTAGCCACATCAGAAGCTATTTATTTACTGTGAATGCTTGAAGTAGAGCATAGTGGTTCCAAAACCAGGAGTCATCTTCATGTGCAGCTTCAACCTGTAATGATGGAGTTCATGCAATGAAGAAAGTCGATTCCTTATTGCCTGGTCCTGTAGGTCTGTCCAGCGTGATCTGGTCCCACTGTCTGAAATGGGAGCTGTGCTTAGCATCTGGCAGGAGATGTTTTTAACAGTGCTATGGGAGAACCAAGTCTGGGATATAGGCGGGCAATACAATGGAGGTCCTTTATGTTAAAGATGAATTCTTACCAGTTGGAATTTTTGCCAAGGCAGGCTTGGCACGCGTGTAGATGAAGATGGCTGTGAGCCATCAGCCACACTTGCTGCTGGAAAATGTCAGCACGGGTTCCGTGGCTCTGTAAATGTTTTCTGCTTCTCATGTCTTGAAGGCTGCTGTTGTCCCAGCAAATGCCCTGTAGGACAATCTTATAAGCTTGCCTATGTGATAGGCCAGATAGCAGCAACATCCTGGCTGTGTGCTCCAGCAGCAAGAGAGGCAGTTTAGTGATGTATTTTTAAAATGAAAAACTTGAAGACAATGTCTCTGTAAAATAAAGAATATATTTATTATCGATGAAGTGGCTGCTATAGTACGTGTTTCCATTGCAGATCATTAGCATTTTGAAAGCAAGCTGTGAAAATCATTAGGTTCTAAACACTTAGCATTATTTACCACTTAACCCAAGGCAGGCTTGGGGGAGAAACCCTGTGTATTTCCACTGTTTGAGGAGTAAACTTGGAGACCTTTTGTCTTACATGTACTGAGCTACAGGTAAGCTTTTTTTGGCTGACTTTTGAGCTGGCACTGATTTCCCTCTGGTCTCAGTAACAGACCCTGCAGCAGTATACAGTGTTCTGTTCTAGCAGAGTGCTTTCCTAAAGTCAAAATGGAACTCAAATGCTTCTTTCTTTGTTATTTATTTAAATATTTACTTGTTCCCTATCAGGTCAGATAGCTTAAAGTCTCTGTTCTTCATCATCCCTTTTGTAAACAAGAAACTGTGGGAGGTTTTCTCCTGATTTTTTTTTTTTTTTTTAAAAGCTTAACTGGTAATCAAGTGGCACTGCATCGGAAGGTGGCAATAAAGCTCATGTTTGCACTGAATTTGTATCTTTTACTTTTCTAGGAGTTTCTGTATATATAACAAATATCTTTCATATATACCTACAGTTTTGATTTTTATACCTGTCCTTTATAGGAAGGATTAATGTTCTAGCAAGGTGTAAAGCACCTAAGAGGGAAAGATGCCCTTAGATTGCAGGCCTCTGCCAGAGGCAGGAGGGTTGGCCTAAAAGGGCTGCAGTGTTGTTGTATTTGCTCTTTATTTATTTATTTTTGAAGCTCAGTTGACACTAGAGTAGATGCAGCTTTGGTAGTTCTGTGCATGATAATAATCCCAAAAGGTTGGGTGCTTTCCTACCCATTTTAAATCCTGAGAGTCAGGAGCCAATTTAAAAAAAAAAATGGTAAACTTGAAAATAACTGCAGCATTCATCTCCCTCACTTATTTGCAAGGAGTGGCTTTGAGTTTTCTTTGTGCCTCTTGCCAAAATGGTTCTTTGACACAGCTCTGTTTTAGTTTTTGCAATTTGTTAGTTGAAGTTGTTCCATTAAGGTCTAATAGAGCAATTAGCATGTTTTGGGGGGGAAGTAGTTGTCATTTAAATTGTCATTTGGGGGAAGCAATTGTCATTGTCTATTTAAAAGGGCTTGGAGAATATGTCTCTGGATAACTCCACCCTTTATTCTTCACCCTGCACTCCACACTACTTAGAGTGGTTTCAGAATGTGTGTGAAACTTCATTTTTCAGCTTGTAGATGTGTCCTGGCTGCTTCGTGATTGTTTTTGTATCTGAGATAATGTGTAAGCAAGTACCTTCCCGCTGCCCTTACTCAAAAATACACATGGCCAAGGCTTACTAATACTTTGAAGATGCTACACTTGTTGTAGCAGTTCTGTGCATTGGCTGTGTCTGACTGTAAACTTACCTAGGTCAGATATATATTTTACATTATATATGTAATCTTGCTCATGTGCAGTTGTTAGCAAATTCTGTCTGAAATGAGGCCACAGTTCTGCAAAGACACATTCACATTTTGCTGCTGAGCACAGATCTGTGTGAGGTGTCCTAGGTCCCTCATGCTGCTTGTATGAGGGAATTGGGAGGATTTCCAGGCTTGCTTTCATTTTTGAGAATAAGATCATAGGGGTGATTCCTGACATTGCTTTTTATCTCTTCAAACTCTTGTGCTCTTGAAATGATTTTCTGCTTTTCTTCTGCTCCTGTCTGCACCATTTTCTTCCACTAGTGATAAAAATCTCATTGCCTAGGTTAGTACGCAGCTTATATCACTTAAGAGACACAAATGGAATTTATGGAGAAGTGCTTATCCACCAAAGAGCTTTAGCTGTCAGAAAGGAAGGACCTGGTCCATGTGCTCCTGTTAGAGAGGGATTGAACAAGTGTGAGATGACCCTGGTCCTTGATGGGAGCCGGGTGCTGCTGCAGCTTCACCTTCCCCTGTGACCTCCTGCAAGGGGCCACCCTGTGTGTGCAAGTTCTGTTGTCATTCCCTTAACCCAAGATGTGAGATGGTGACAAGTTCTGCTTCCTACTACCCAAGTGTTGCCCATTCAGAGTGAAGAAATGCATGGAAGAAAACCCATCCTGCAGCTTTCCTGACCTGCTGCTGTTAGCGTAAGGGAGACAATTACTTTCCCCATAAGATCACTGGGGTGTATGACTGCAATGGGCTCTTCTTTCTAGTGCCTCTCTTTATGAAGGGCATACATCCCTTAAAAATAAAACATCTTAATCTTGTGAAATCATTGGGGCTGAGTATTTTGACAGGTGGACAGGATTAAGGTAGTAGAAGATGCACTCTTTATACAACTTTTCTTTTTATTCTTATTTAAAAGATTTATTCTCTATGTGGGGAATGTCTGGCAGGAATCCAACAAATACAAAAAGTATGAATATCATAAAACAGTTTCTAAAAATGCAAAATAGAATCTATTCTGAAAGAATATTATACAAAAACGCTATTTAGGAGACTGCTTATTCTCTGCAGTGAGTGATGCCTCCAGTGCTTGACTTCTCTCAGTTCCTTTAATTGCTTTGAACAGTGCCATTTCTGAGCAGGAGTGGTTAAATTCTCGTTCATGTTCATTTTCCATGTTTAAAAGAGAACCTGGACGGGAAGAAAACAACAGAAAAAAAAAAAAACAGCGCTTACAAATGGTAGAGCAAGGATCATGCAGTGACATGGCCGCGTTGATGCGTTCTGCTATTCTGGGGAGCTCAGAGGACAGGGTCTGAGCTGGTGGCACTGCCTACAGCTGCCTGCACACAGTGTAAACAAACCTCCAGGGACAGCTGGCACGTTCCTGCACACAGAGCCCTAATGTGCTAACAGGAAAGGCAAGTCTCAAACGGGTTTGTTCCAAAATGCTGCTGCTTCCTGAGGGGAGGAAACGAAGCCCTGCTTGTCTGGGTAGGGGCTGCTCTCCTTAAGAGGGCTTTTTTTTTTTTTTTTTTTTTTTTTTTTTTTTTTTTTTTTCTCCTCTCCCTGGAATGGCATTTTCCGCGAGTTTCTAATTGCACAGAGAAAAAAGGAGGGGAAAAAAGCATCTAGTCACCTAGGCCTGAGTTTGAATTTCATCCCCGCATTTGCTAACAGCAAAACGTCCCCTTTTCCCATATTCTGCAGGAACAGAGACACTTACAGTCGTTTGATGATGGTCTTGTCTTTGTGTTCCTTGCTGGTGCCAGGGCTGTTGCTGTTGGAGTCTGTTTCCAGTTGCTCAGTTTGGTCCCTTCTCTGTGAGATGATCCCACTAGTAAGAGGAGCAGAATGATTTATTTTTCATGGGTCTGGGCATAGCGTGGCATTGCTGTCTACATTAAACCCTTCATAAGGCAACTTGTCACACGGGTGAATTATAGAACAGTCAGGTTTGCAGGTGTCCCCATCGGAAAGAAAGCCGGGCTACACAGGGACAGTTTAAAAAGGTTAGGAAGGAGGGCCCTTCAAAAGGAGAGCAATGCAGAGTGCAGTTAATGCTCTCTGAATTCCAGATGATCCCAAATGAAAGGATAATTATATGCTGGGTTTGTACAAGAGTCTAAAGAAATCTGCAAGGTGCAAATACAAATAGTGAAGTTCTGCTCTTGGGGATCCTCAGCACTGCCAGGAGGCTCACACGAGACCGCTGGCAACAGATGGGACTTTGCAAGCCCCATGCAAAGTAGGTGGCTGTTCCTTTTTCCATCTTAAAGAGGAAAAAGAAAAAGCTTTGCCAGAGCTGTAGATTTTCTCAGGCTGCTTTGGTGCTGCTGTATTTTGTAGGGTTGCAACTGCTACTTTAGGCAAAGGTTTTGGTTTCACTGAGCGCTTCCTCTGCGTGGGATTGGGTTAGATTTCACCAGCTTGCATATTGCCCTGTGTTTTCACAGCGTGCCAATTTACTGTCCTAAGCTGACCTCATTTATCTCAAGTGCTGAGCAGATCAAAGCTTGTAACTGCTGTAGCTGAGGGCTGGAAGTAGCTAAGCAACACTGTTCAGCACCTTGAAAGCAAAAATACAGGCAAATATCTGGAAATTGATGAGATATCTGGCATTATGAGATAATTTAGGGACAGATCCTCCAGAGAAACAAAACTGAATTGTTTGGCTGACATTGCAGATTTCTAATATTTGCATCTTATTTTTACTCAAAAAATCATGAAAAATAAAAAGGTAAACCACAAGCACCATTTTCACTAATCTATTATGTGTGAGAATACCAGATATCTTATTGCTACTTATCTTTTATTTTGGATACACACAAGACATTTTCATGTACAGTGTTTGTATTCCTCTCTCACTGGCATGACTGCTCTTCCTGTCTGTACAGCATTGCTGGGGTTCTGTGCACGTTTAAAGGGAAGGGGGGTTGGTTTAACCCTCCAGATTGTGTGACAAAACTACCACACAGCTCAAACGGAAAAACAGCCCTGACATGCTCTGTAGGCAAAGAGCACTGTGACTTAACTCATTCTCCCATAAATTGAAAAGTATTCATGTTAATTTTTAACTTGGTCTGTAATTAGCTGTGCACTGCTCCTGGAAAATCAAAGGCAAGAAGCCCTTCCAAGGACAGCGCAGCAAAAGCAGCGAACTGAGCTATGGAATTAGGTGCTTGCTCGGTTATGAGAAGTCCCGTTGAACAGGCGCTTTGTAAAGTGTCACCTTGGCTTCAACTTTAACTTTGTGGCTTAACCCGAATCTTACAGACAAGGCAAAAGGTCAGACTTGCTGCATGAAAGAGGTTGTTGCTGAGATATCTCTACTGAAATCTGATGTGCCTGGGAATGTTGTACCTAGGGTAAGTAGTAATTTCTTGCTGAAAGAGCTTATAGTATAACCAGATGGGGGTGGGGGGTGAGAACAGAACCTGGGAGATAAAGCAATTTGTAGCACCAGGAGTGTGTAAGACCCTGTGTGGATCCTGTCCATTGGATCAAACTGATTCTCCCAGGCTGCTCTCTTCTAGCAATGTCCTTTGCTGAAGGGTATTTTCTCCCTGTAATTCAAGCACCTTACCCAACCTTCAGCTTGCAGTCTTAAAAATAACTAAAACCACACAGCTCGTGCTGAATGATGGTGAAAGAATTTAATATTCTCTCTACATCACTGCCATGTGCACTCTGGAGGCAAAAGACCAGTAGATAAACTACTGTACACCCACCTATGCAGAGCGAGAGGGAGGAGGAACTTCCTCGACTCTAAAGCTGAGCTGGAAACCCCCAGGCCCCTGGTTCACCCTGGGTTTCTCCCCAGAGCAGGAAATACGTGCACGGCTCTGGTGAGTGCGCAGGGGAGAGCCGTGCATGAGAACCCGGCCCGCGCAGGTGCTGCGGTGAGCATAGGCTTCCCCTGGTACCGCTGTGGGAACAGGCTCTTTACTGTACAGAATGAGGAAGTTGTTTTAAAACTACTCTTTAAAACTGATCCTTCATCATCCCTCCCTTTTTCTTTGCTCCTTCGTATGCTTTTGGGAGCACAGATACCTTTCCTCCCAAGTCCAAAGCCCAGTCCAATCTAGGTGCTCAGTCATGCAGTAACCTCACCTGATACATTGCCCAGACAAGGAATAAACGCTATAAATAGTTCTTTGCTGACTTCATGCTCTACCTCTTGTAGCACTGCAGCTCCTCTTGCAGCACGAGCAGCTGCGCTTTCAGCTGGTTGCGCTCCTGCAGCACTTCTCGCAGCTCCTGTAACGTGAACCGGGGGCGGTCTGGGTCTGTGAGGTCTATCACCATTTTATCAGGTCCAAGCTGTAAAATAAAACCATGGTTGTGATCTTGTGACTTGAGGCCATTCCTAGAGTAAAAACCGTCAAGATTATAATGACATAACAACTGTTATGACTTTTCTTTTTTCCCCCTTATCAGGTCCAAGCTGTAAAATAAAACTGTGGTTGTGATCTTGTGACTTATCAATAGAGGCCATTCCTAGAGTTAAAAACTATCAAGCTTATGATAACATAACAACTGTTATGACTTTTTTTTTTCCCAGCAGTTAATTATAGGTTCCCTCTATTTTTCATCAGAGAAAGGGCTGGGGTTTGTATTTATTGGGGGGTGTCTTATTTGCAGAGTCTCCTTCTCTGGAGATCTCCAGAGGCCTCCTGGATGCCACCCTGTGCTCTAGAGGTCCCTTCCCGCCTCAGCCCCTCTCCAATCCCCTCAAGAAGCCGTGTCTGCCCAAGCACTGCAGCGCGGCTCTGCGAGGACACTGCTGCTCCCGGCCTTTCCGCGGGTGACTTTGTATTTATTGGGGGGTGTCTTATTTGCAGAGTCTCCTTCTCTGGAGATCTCCAGAGGCCTCCTGGATGCCACCCTGTGCTCTAGAGGTCCCTTCCCGCCTCAGCCCCTCTCCAATCCCCTCAAGAAGCCGTGTCTGCCCAAGCACTGCAGCGCGGCTCTGCGAGGACACTGCTGCTCCCGGCCTTTCCGCGGGTGACAGCGGTGCCAAGTAACTTCCTTAACAACACCGGGCTCCTGCAAGGGCGAAGGCGACGCGCTAACGGCAGAGCGTGAGCGGCTGCTCCCGCGCGCCTCGCTCCACAACGCGCGGCACAACGGCCGCTCTGCAAACGGGCCGG